GAGGGGTCACCTTCGAGAGCCATGAGTGGAAATCTGAATAAGATGGAAAATCCTGGGGGGCATGAGAATTTTTACCAGAACGTAGTTCGACCTAATAGAAACCCACATGATGACTTAGACCAAATGGTAGAGAGGATACTCAATAGACATGGATTCGATATAGGTCGAAATGAACGTCCATATTTTGTGTCAGTACTTCATTTACAAACTCACTCATCCCTTGATTTGAGCTCTTTGAAAGTCTCTTCACAGCAATGTCTAGCCCACTGGCTAATTTTCCCTGCATAAATCACATTCATATGAGCACCAAATATTTTTGGTTCAATATTTTTATTGTGGTTAGTATTTGGGTAAAAATATTGAATTACCCAATATACGGGTCCAAAGCCACCTTCTCCAATCTTGTTCCCCTCTGAGAAGTTATTAGTGGCTGCAATGATTATGGACAAATCAAGCAATGGAAGATCCAGATCATCCGCATAATTTTCGTAGTTATTTTCTTCCGTTGACTTTTCTGGACAGAGAAGATAAGAATTGTGAAAAATTTTGTATGCATCACGTTATTAAACTGCACAGCTATGAAATTCTATGCAAGAGTCACAGAACAGTACCCTGCTAATAAGGTCACTCATTAATCAAAATTTCACAGAATACTCTAAAAACCAATAATTTGAATAACAGCACTTGTCAAGGGAATTGAAAAATTGCAGAATTTTCATTTAAAATATTATGTACAGAACTATTCAGCCAATTTTCAGTGAAACGCGAGAGAAGTGAAGAATAATTTTACCATAAATTTTCCTTCTGTAGACAAAATAAATAGCAAGTATAACTCCTATAGTTGCAGCAAAGGAGGTTATAGATATTATTTTAGACTTCTTGTGCCTGATAGAATCTTCACCAAACAAAATAACAAAGATTAAATTCCATACTGAAGGACCAAACTTAAATTCTAAAAGACAAGATTGTAACTGTGGTTATAAGAATAATAAAGGATTAATTGGAAAATTTAATAAAGTATTTACCTAGTTCTGAAGGATGCAACCTTATATATAGACGCTGTCCACTTTTTGAATCTGGATACAATTTGATGTCAATTAAATCACCAAACCACATGACACAGCCACTGCCAGCTCCACTTATATTTGAATTGGTATATGCCATGCAGGAACAATTATTCAAGCACTTTTTTCTGCAGTTCTCAAGATCAATAGTTTCATCCACAGACGTATTTGTA